TTTTATATCCGTAAAAAAAAAATCTAATTATTTACACGCCTCTCAATGCGTTCCCATCCCTGCGTCTCTCTTGCGCTAGTTTTAAGTATTGTTATCTCTCATGCGTTAATCTCGACATTATCGTTCTCTCTACGCGTCTTCTTCGCGCTATCGTTTTCTCTTGCACGCATCGTCTTCGCGCTATCGTTCTCTCTCGCACGCGCTAGTTGTAAGTCTTCGCGCTATTATCGTTCTCTCTCGCACGTATTGTCTTCGCGGTATTATCGTTCTCTCTCGCACGCGCTAATTGTAAGTCTCGCGGTATTATCGTTCTCTCTCGCATGCGTTGTTATTCTCGATATTATCGTTCTCTCTCTTTCGCTTAGAATATACTCGTTGTTCACTTACCTTTGCGTCGTCCTTCTCCCACCCATATGTCGTCCTTGTCCCACGTTAACGCCATCCTTGTCACACTCGTAGCATTGTCCTCTTCACACACACTTTGCACTGTCCTTTTCCCATACGTAGCGCTGTCCTTCTCACACCACCGTCCATCGGTCACTCCGCGGATCCCCTCGTCCATCGCTCGCGCCCGCGGATTCCCCTTCACTGCGCGGACCCCCTCGTCCATCGCTCGCGCCGCGGATCACCCTTCCCCGCGAGTGACGTCACCCACCGCGCGCCGCGGTTCCTCCTTCTCCGCACATGACGTCACTCCCCCCGCACCGCGGTTCCCCTCGCGCCTCACCCCTCCTGAGAGGTCCTGGGTTAGAACCCCCTTACTCCTACTACTCATGATAATAATGTTAATATGTTAAATGTTTATTCTTTACGTCTACCACGCATTCTTCAATCAAACACATGATTGCGTTCGATAGCGCCAGTAGTACCTTAACCTACCGCAACCTACCATGACAAGGAAGCCGCACTTGCAGTCGCCGAGTAATTATCGTCGCATTGTCGCGTCGTGTAGTGACGTGTCCGCGCGTGTTTCTTTCATCGAGTAATTTTTAATCGCCAACAGTTATTATTCGACAGTGATTAGTGATAGAGTCATTAGTAAATTTCTCGCCACATCGAGTGAATAAATAAATGTGATTACGTTAAAGTTTATAAAAGAATGCAGTTCATAAAAGAAGAAAAATTTTCAGTTAATAATTTAGTGTGGATTTCTGTCTTGTGCAACGTGATATCTACGTTAAATTTGAGAACGTACGATCTATCGGAAAATTCATTTCTCCTTCAAGCAATTACAGCAATACATCAGAAGTCATCGAACAAGGTAATAATAACTATTTTTTGACGTTATGTGAAAACGGATCTCGGGAAGGACAGAGGGACAGTGTGTCAAAGAAAATTCGCGAAAAGAGAGGGGTTTTTAGTGGATAGGGAGTACCGAGTTGGTAATTCGATTTGGTACTCGAGTCCCACATAACTCACTGGATCGATCGGTGGGTATGCATAAAATGCATTTTCCCCCCTCTCGTAAAAAAAAAAAAATACACGTGAGTAAGCGAATAAAAGAGAGAGAGAAAGAGAGAGAGACAGACAGACGGACAGCAGACAGAGAGAGAATGTATGTGTTCGCATGTGTGTCTGTGTGTATAGCGACCAGCTGATCGCAGCAGGTGCCCCGCGTAAGCGCCCGCGTCTGACGGATCTCGCGTCATCCTTGTCTGCCTCTTGTATCCGACCCGTCATGTGTTAACTTTTTTCTTTAATAATTCGAAAACTAAGTTTCGGACGAAATTTTGCAAAAGGAAAAATCGTTTTAGAATTGACTCAACAATGTGTCATTTCACGGACACAGGGGTTATTTTGAATCACCCTGTATATATATATATATATATATATATATATATACAGGGTGTCCCATTATAAAACATCCACGCAAATTACTCCGAAGATAAGGGTGATAGCAAAAAATGACCTTAACAAACGTTATAGGATTAAAAGGGGGCCAACTGAGGGTGACCTTGACTTTGATCTCGCCGTTGATTTTCAAGGTCATTTGAAGGTCAGAGAGATTTTTATAAATGGAAACCCTTATTTTTGACACCGGATTCGAAAAGAGCGGAAAATTTTACGTTAGAAATGATATTTTAAATTTTTTTTGTGTGACCTTGAGAAGGTCAAATCAGGGTCAAATGTTGAAAAACTGCTTGCTGACTGTTTATTTAAATTTATAGGCGAAATAAACGTTATAAAGGTACCTTTAGCAGGTAGATCAAGCTCAAATGTGCCAACGACCGTGACCATTTTGACCTTGAGGTCAATTTTCAAGGTCATTTAAAGGTCAGAGAGATTTTTATAAATGGAAACCCTTATTTTTGACACCGGATTCGAAAAGAGCGGAAAATTTTACGTTAGAAATGATATTTTAAATTTTTTTTGTGTGACCTTGAGAAGGTCAAATCAGGGTCAAATGTTGAAAAACTGCTTGCTGACTGTTTATTTAAATTTATAGGCGAAATAAACGTTATAAAGGTACCTTTAGCAGGTAGATCAAGCTCAAATGTGCCAACGACCGTGACCATTTTGACCTTGAGGTCAATTTTCAAGGTCATTTAAAGGTCAGAGAGATTTTTATAAATGGAAACCCTTATTTTTGACACCGGATTCGAAAAGAGCGGAAAATTTTACGTCAGAAAAAATATTTTAAAGTTTGTTGGTGTGACCTTGAATAGATCAATTCAAGGTTAAATATTCAACAAGCACTCAAAAGCTGTTGCTTACATGTGCTAACCTTACTGTAGCTTTAAAATCACCACGCAAATTACTCCGAAAATAAGGGTAATAGCAATACCGAATTCGAGTTATCATGCATTTATAACATAAAATCGTATTTTTTTATTTATGCGAACCTGGACTCCCGGCGAGCCTATCCTGCTCCACACACACACACTCACACGTGAAACTTCACGCGTTTCAGTAGCTTTTAACACGTAAGGTTTAGGAAAAACGTGTGCTCAAGTGATTTATCAATTCGTAGCGACAATAATACTTGCTCGATTTTTTTAAAAAACTAGGATATAGTGCAGGATAATGCTAGAAATAACATTTAAAGAAACAAGGATTATTAGCAATGCCGTTTTTGAATTATCGAAGTTCAAAGCCTGAAATCTCTTATTCTTATTCTTGTCCTGACCGTCCAATACCGTCCAATATTGACCGTCGCTTGATAGTATGTACATATAATAACATCTAATTTATTTTGTCGTATGTTGACAAATGTTCTCATACATTTGAAACTCTTTTTTGCGATCGTTATTATCGTTAAAAAAATGCCTGACTACACTGCTAATGAAATTATTGACATTCTTCTTATTTTAGGAGAATGTCGACGAAACTATCGAGAGGCAGCAAGCCTGTATCGTGCTCGATTCCCTCAAAAACAACATCCTAATCATACGGTAATACGTGACATTGAACTACGCGATCGACAAGGAAATTTTGTTCGAAGAAAAAGGGCACTGAATGAACACGATTATGAAAATAATCCTCGCTTTATTGCTGTTCTAGCCATGGTACATTTAAATGTTCACGTCAGTTTACGCGAAATCGAGTTAACAATGGGCATTCCAAGATCTACGGCCAGTAGATATTTACAACTTGCGCGTTATCATCCTTATCACATTTCTTTAAATCAAGCTTTAATTGAGGAAGATCATCGACGGAGAATAACATTTTGTCAATGGGCAACGCAACAAATTAGTGATGATGAAAATTTCTTCAACGATGTTCTTTTTAGTGATGAGACTACATTTGAGAGTACTGGTATGTTGAATCGCCATAATTGCCACTATTGGTCTCCTGTTAATCCTCATTGGATGCAAGAAGTTGATCATCAGCATCGCTGGAGTGTAACAGTATGGTGTGGCATTGTTAACGGATATCTAATTGGACCTTATTTTTTTGAAGGTAACGTAACTCAACACACACTTATTTACAGTTGCTCAGAGAGAAACTTCCACTTTTGCTAGAAAACGATCTTCATACAAGAGCCAGGATGTGGCTACAACAAGATGGCGCTCCTTCACATTATGCCAGAATTGTCAGAGATTTTCTTAACGAAAGGTTCAACAACCGATGGATTGGTAGAGGAGGCCCTATAGCATGGCCACCAAGATCTCCAGATCTGACATCTCCAGACTTTTATTTATGGGGCTATCTAAAAAATACAGTCTACCGCAACAGACCAACTACAAGAGCTGACATGATTCAAAGGGTTACGCAAGCCTGCTTAAATATTCCACGTCAAGTATTATTAAATACTATTAGGAACTTTCAAAGAAGAATAGAATATTGTCAACAAGTAAATGGTGAAACTTTTGAGCATTTTCTTCATTAAATGGTGACTGAAACACTTGGACTTTATGACTAAATGCACATGTAAGCGTGGAATTTTCAATGTTTTTTCAACTGTCTAGACTTATCCCCGACCTTGTCTTAACTGGCCGGGTCATTCCCGACCTTGCCTTAAGTGGTCGGGTCATTCCCGACCTTGCCTTAAGTAGCCGGGTCATCCCCGACCTTACCTTAAGTGGCCGGGTCATTCCTGACCTTTTTTTTTTTTTTTTACTTGGAGAAATGCATTGACGCATACTCCCCCCAAGGATGATAAGGGGGGAGTTATGCGGGACTCCGGGGCTAAATGCCCCGACTACCCGCTAAAACTCCAAGGCGACCTCTTCGCACGCTACCGGGGGGGCCGCGGGAACGCTTGCGCAATCAACCGCGACCCTCCCTACTCGTGCTACGACCCCTCTTCGGTTGAAGAGGGGTCCCTCTGTAGGAGGCGGGGCTAGGGTGATAATCACCCCACCCCACTACAGGAATGGCGGCGAGGCCAGGTCGCCCTGCCTCGCCACCCTTCTGGGAAGGGGCTATAATGCGGGGGGAAGAAACCTCTGCGCTCATCCAGCGCACAGAGGAACCCCCCAGCCCCTAGCCGAGGGAGAGAATATTAATCTCCCTCGGCCTGCCACTGGAGGAAGTGCGGGGCATCCCCGCTGGGAGCGCTACGGATTCTGGAGGGCATAGGCCCTCCTCCGTGCACCCCCCTTCCTCCTGCAGATAGGGTGAGCATCGGGATCATTTTCCCGAACCCTCTCCGCGGCCTCCTTCTGCGATATAACTTCTTCGCAGAAGGAGACCATGGCGTCCCAGGCGTCCTCGCTCCCGACCATCTTTTCGACGATGGCCGGGAGCGAGAGGTCGTCTCCGACCGCGGCGCGGAGGACACGGCGCTGCACATCCCAGGCAGGACAATCCTGAAGGGTGTGCTGCGCCGTGTCCCTTACCTCCGCGCAATGGTGGCACTTTGCCGTTGGCTCGCGCCTTGCCTTCTCATACAGGTACTCACCGACGCAATCATGCCCGGTGAGTACCTGTACCGTCCTAAAAGGGAGTCCTTTCGGCCGTCTATCCACCCAGTCCTCCAGGACCGGGCGGATGGCTCCGACAGCTCTAAGGCCGACCCTTACATGGGCCAGCCTCTCCTTCCACTTTTCTAGAGCGAGCTGTCGGAACTGGTTCCGGGCAGCTTCCTTCATCCGCGGTGTCGGGGTAACACCACGCTGGCGGAGGGTAGTACGCCACCCATACATGGCAGCGTACGCCTCCGCCAGCAGATCCCAGGGGATCGACCCCGACACCACTAGCGCCGCCTCCGTGGGGGTGGTTCTATACCCCCTAGTGATCCGGATGGCCAGCCTCCGCTGCATGCCTTGCATTATTGCAAGGCAGCTTCGGCTGGCCATTATAGTTCCGGACCACACGGGGGCTCCGTACAGGATCATGGATCCTACCACCCCCATATAGAGACGGCGCACCCTATCCCGTGGCCCCCCGATGTTAGGCAGCAAACTCCCGAAGGAGTTGATTGCTGCTTTTATACGGGGGGCCAAGCGGATGAAATGCTCCCGGAAACACCAGTGGCAATCGAGGTGCAGGCCCAGATATTTCATGCTGGACCGCACCTCGATGCGGACTCCCTCGACGGTTATATGGGACTGCGGCAGCGACTTCCGCGAAGGCTGTTTAAAGTATACAGCCTCCGTCTTATGAAGCGCCACCGTCAGTCCCAAGGCGCGAATACGGCCAACGACAAGTGCCACCCCGACTCGTGCGAGGCGATTCACGTCCTCCCAAGTCTTCCCGCGGGCCATAACAAGAGTGTCGTCCGCATAGCAGACGACACCCAGACCCGTGAGGAGAGCTCCCCGGAGTACACTGTTGTACCCGAGGTTCCACAACATGGGGCCCAAAACTGACCCCTGTGGAACCCCGCAGTACATTGCCCTCCGCATCGGTACACCGTACCGTGCCCGGTATGCAACGGCCCTGTCCCTCAAATAGTCCCTAAGGACCGACCGCATATAGGGCGGCACTCGGTGATATTCAAGCGCACGCCCTATACACTCCCAGGGTAGGGTGTTAAATGCGTTGGCGATGTCGAGTGACACCGCCATTGCCACCCCACCCCGGGAGACAGCCTTATCCGAGAAGGCCCGCACGCGTTGGATCGCGTCCACTGTCGATCGGCCTTCCCGGAATCCGTACTGGCAGTCGGCCAGATCGGGACCCACGAGGGACAGATGCCTTTGGAGGCGGGCAACGAGCACCCGCTCGAATAATTTGCCCGCCTCGTCCAGCAAGCATATCGGGCGATATGCGGAGGGCGACTCCGGGGAGCGTCCTTCCTTCTGTAGGAGGACGAGAGTCGCCTCCTTCCATATAGGGGGAAATTGTCCCGACTTAAGGCAGGCTGTATATAGCCTCCTTAGCCGGTCCCCTAGGACGCCGAGGGCCAAGACCCAGGCTCGGCCGGGGATACCATCGGGCCCCGGGGCGGTATTCTTCGCCCGGAGTTTCCGTATTGCCCCAGCCAGCTCTTCCTCTGTAACCCCCAGATCGTCGGTCCACGATGACGTGTGGATCGACTGTCCCAGAGCCGTGTCCGCCCCATCCCCATTATTGGGGAAGAGGGCCGCGACCACGTCCTCCAGGACCTGGGAGTGGAGACTCTCAGTGATCCGGGGCCCCCCTGACTTCAGTTTTTTCCTGATAATCAGGTAAGGGCGCCCCCATGGATCTTCATTGAGAGTCTCCAAGAGCTCTGCCCAGGCCTTATCTTTGGCCCTCTTGATGGCTCGCTGCAGCACCTTTTTCGCCTCTCTATAGGCTGCATACAGCGATGCCGCTTCAGTCTCCGAATGACGTCTGCGACGGCATCTTGTGTACTGGCGTCGCTCCCTCACGCACGTCGCGCGTAATTGCGCGATCTCGAGCGACCACCAGTACACTGACTTCTTCTCGGGGAGGGCCCGGATCCGGGGCATAGCCACATCGCATATTTGCGACATGGCCTCCCGGAACCAGGTAGCCTCCCCGTTGACGTCGCAGGCGTCAGGCCCCGGCATTTCTTCCAGGGCCTTGACCGAAGCGGCTGCCATCAAGGCGTCCTCAACCAGGCGCTTAAGCGCCCAGCGGGGGTGTGGAGATGCACCTCCACGCCCGGGGGGACGCGGCTGGTTTCCAAGGGCGGGGTCGGAGATGTCCCATCGGATATACCGATGATTGGACAACGTCTCCGACCCCTCCATTACCCTCCAGCCGACCACCTTGCGCGCGACTGACGGGGATCCAAACATCACATCGACGATGGATCCCCCATTGTGCCGCACGCAGGTGTGAGCCGAGCCTCTGTTTAACACAACGAGGCCCAGCTCCGCCCCCCACTCCGCGAGTTCCTGACCCCGGGCATCGGTCACGGGGGAACCCCAATCCACCGACTTGGCGTTGAGGTCCCCCGCGACAAGTACTGGACCAGGCAGTTGGCGACGTATCGACGACGCCACCCGGTCCAAGTATTCCCGAAACTGGGTCAGGTCGCGATTGGGCGAGAAGTACACCCCCACCACGACAATCTCCCCCCATTTGGCGGTCACGTGGCCGCCTCCTCTCCCTATAAGGGTTAGGGGGAGGGCGTTTTGGCCACCTCTGCTAATAATGGTGACCAAGCCGTCCACGTCGCCAATCCAACAGGATTTTGCTGGAACGTGGTACGGCTCGGCCACCACCGCCAAATCTATACTCCACTCCGCCAGGGTTTGCAGCAGGAGATCCTGCGCCCTGGCGGAGTGGTTAATATTCGCCTGGAGGAGGCGATGGTGTCTGCTGATTTAAGCAGTGTCCATCGCCTCCTCCTGGCTACCAGCCGGGCCCTCGCTGGGCTCCGAAGAAGGGGGGGGCCGCTCCGAAGTCGGCGGAGCAGCCCCCTGTTTCTCTGGTCCCTCGTTGGGGGGGATGGGGGCAGATTTCGCCACCTTTCCCCCCTTCTTCTTTCCCTTCTTTACAGGCCGAAGGGAGGCACAAGCCCTTCCCCCGTACCTGTGATTGGCCGGGTGCCCCCCATCCGCGCAAAGCGGACAATGGGGGTCCTTAGCGGTGCACCCGGCCGCAATATGTCCCTGCTGACCGCAGCGGTAACACAAACCGCTGCGGTCAGTCTCCGCCTTACAATGGGCCCTCGAATGACCGACCCCCATGCACTTGAAGCACTGCAGGGGCCGGGGCTCGAGGGCCTCGACGCGGGCCCTAATCCACCCAATGGGTAGATGACCCGCGTCGACCACCATCTTGGCGGCGGCTGCAGGACAGCGGGCCCACACGGACCCGAGTCTACCCGCGGGGGAGAGGTTGATCTTACCAACCTTGACCTCCCCCACGGAGCAGCCGCCCGCCGCAGCAATAGCTTGCTGCACCTCTGTGGGGGTGATCGAGTCATCCAGACCGGCCACTCGCAATTCTGCGAGCTTGACCGGCCTGGAGACCCTCACCCCCTTAGGCTCCAACAGGGGCCTTAGCGCCTCGGCCAACTTATCGGCCTTTGGGCCGCTATCAGGGCCGGGGACCTCAAACAAGAGGCCCCCGCCCGCCGCCTTTTTCGGCTTTAGGGAGGCGATACCGAACTCGGTCAGCTTAATGCTGGACCGAACGCCGGCAATCGCCTCCCCCAACGCCGCCGGTTTTTCACCCCCCCCGGACGGATCCGTACTCAAAAGCACGGCCGCCGTTTTGGGGGGGCGGATCTTGCGCGGCTTCGCGGGATTGGTCCTCTGCGATTGAGGGCCTTTCCCGCCCCTCTTCGTGGGCCCTTTGCCCGTCTTCCCCCCCTGTTTAGAGGGGGGACCGGGCTTGGGGGCCTTGGCCTTGGGTGGGGCTCCAGCTCCACCTTTGGCCTTTGCCGCCTTTCCGCCCGAGCGGCCGACGACAGTCCAATCGGACCCGTCGGCCGCTCGTCTGGGCTCGACGGCCTTAGTAGTCTTGGCCGGGGGGGCTTTTGCAGGTATCCCCCCGGTTTTACTGCCCTTTCCCTTCGCGGGGGAGGGTGGCGGTGGGGCCGCGGTGGGTTTTACCCCCCGACCCCCGTCACTCCTCCCTTTAGCCCCTTTGGGGGCCGCGGCGGCCACCTGCGCAAATGTTTGCGACCTGGTGACCGCCTGGGGCCCGCTCCTTATCCGCCTGTAGCGCAGGCCGGATATTGTCGGGGGGGAGGCGCTGCTCGATCACCGCGAGCTTTGCGTTAACAAACGCGGCAACGCGATTTGTGATCGCACTAATCAGCGCCTCTCCCCCGGGGATGGACGCAATGTCCAGAGCCCCCTCTGGCGGGTTCAGTTGAACCTCCTCCTCCCTCCTCCTCCTCTTGGACGAATCCGCAGCAGGGGAGGAAGGAGGGGACGGCCTATCTTCCCCCCGACCGCGGCGCTTCTCGCGCTGAGGCAGCGGGGGGAGATCCACCTCCATGGAGCTGGGGCCCGATGGTGGGGACGAGGGTGGCGCGGGGCCCTGTGATCCCGCCATGTTGGCCACCCTCTCCCGCAGCTCACTGAGCTGTCTCCTGAGTTCGGCCACTTCGCCGGTAAGTCGGCTATTCGCCTCCTTCAGGAGACGACTCTCATCATTTTGGGTACGACTGGCAAGCTCCTTACCAGCCGCACCCACCACTTTGGCCGCCTCCTTCAATATTCTCACAGAAGTGCCCTTAAGGCCCTTCTTGAAGGAGGCGACCTTGTGGATGGCGTCGATCGTCCCCCTCAGCTGCATCTCAAGATCAGCTGAAGAGAGACAGGACGGGTCCAGGATCTTTTGTGACCCATCCTCGACGCTCACCTCTGCCCCCAAGAGGATCTTTCTGGACCGAGTCGTTGCTGGTTCGGTCCAGTCATCCAGGAGCTCGCGCTCGGCTAAGAGGGCGAGCTCCTCCCTTTCCAAGCGGATGTTTTCCGCCTTGGCCTTTGCCAGGCCCACATATTCCCCGGTGGTACGGGCTCTGATTCGTCCCCGGCGCTCCAACATCCCCTCAGAGAGGATGGAATCGCCGGAGGCGATGGAGGAGTCGGAATCGTCGCCCTCCCTCAGGCGTTTAGTTGTCGGATCGCCCTCAGGGTCGTCGACCTCCATGTCGGCGTCCGAAGACGCCGCCGACGCTCCGCTTCCTTTTCTCTTGCGGGCCTTGCTCGAAGCAGGGCCCGGCTTCTTTGCGACGGGGGGGTCGGGGGGGCGAAACTCCCTCCCCTTCTCTCCCGACACTCTACCCGTGGTCCGAGCACATCGCTCGACCGACGTTTCATCGGCCGAGCCATACTCGGAGCCACTGTTATGCACTCGAGCGGATCTAGTGCTCCGAGTGCTGCGCTGGCTGTTCGAGCGCGACACCGAAGGCGTCGGCGGCTCGTCCAGCATCCCCAGGTGGACCGGTGGACCGTCTCCTTCCCCGCGATCCTGTGTCGCCACAGGACGCGGTTCTCCCCCCACGTCTAATTTATTTTTTAAGCTGCTCATTTTTGTTTTTCTCCCGGGTGCAGCGCGGCTCCGTCCACACAGGGTATACCCTCACCCCCGCCGAGAGTGCCCGAAACATGACCGGCACACTCCCGACGGAGGGCCCCAAGTTCCCCCGGGGGGTGGACTATGCCTCGGGGGGGAGGAGAGACTCAACTCCCCCACTGGGCTCCGGGCCCCTACACACCCACCCCGTAAAGGGTGGGCTTTCGGGGCTCCCGTACCTCCGACAATACGGGCACCGCGCTACAGCTTGCCAAGCTTGGTTATCCCAGGAGGGCCCCACGGACGATTGGGGCTGGGTCGCTGCTCCCCGGCCCAGCCTTACCCGCCGTGGCGACCAGCGCGCCCGCGCTCCTGTGCCGCGAAGCGGTTTAAACACAGGGCGCCGCCTGTCCGTTGACCGCCGCTTCGGAAGGGAAGCAGTCGCGACGGTCGCCGGACTCTACTCTCGTCACCGGGCCCCGCCTCGGAATAAGTCCGAGCGGCCCCGGTGACCGGACCGCCTCCACACCCCCGGAGAGGTATGTCAGCGGACCGTGCCTCCGCCACTGGACCCGAGCTCGGAATAAGTCCGAGTGGCCAAGCCGGCAGACCCGAGCTCGAAATAAGTTCGAGTGGCTCTACTGGCCTCCTCCGTCCCTAACTGGGGATCCGGGAGACCCCATGCCAGAGTGCACGCCCTGAAAAGGGCGTCACCCCCAGACACAAGGTCCCCCTTCACCCCATCCCCCCGAGGATCCTACGTGACAGGAGCACCCGCCACGCAGCGTCCCCATCAACTCCCATGCGGGAGCACCCGCAAAGTGCACGGAGGGAGGATAGAAATCCTCCCCTAACGGCTCCGTGCAGCCGGGCGATTGAAGTCAGGGCCGCCAACCCCTATGCGCATCAGGCCAAGGTGCCCGGAGGGAGCGCAACCCCCCTTCTCGTGATGTCCGCCCACGACGACTTCGGATTACTCACATACTCGTTACTCACGGCCCGAGGGCCGCTTTCGTTTTCGTTTTCATCCTCAGCCGCCGCCTACAGCGAACACCACGAGGAAGTGCAATGGTGTGCTCTTAGACCCCTCAACCCGAAGGAAGAGGGGAGCTCCTCCACCACGACAAGGTGGCACACCATCGGAGGAGTGCACCCTTCAAAGAGGGCCGAAAACAGGGTCCGGATCGCTACGGGTCCCCTCGGAGACCACGCACGCCGGCCGCCCTGCCCACTACGTTTTTTCCCCCTCTGCCGGGGGACCACCACTGGTGGTGTCCCCCCAGGTGTCCAGCCACCCAGGGGGACCCAGATGATTCGCGTGTGCCTTCGCTTGTTTTAGAGTGGGGTAAGGCAGGCCCCCACTAGGTAGACTCCTGTGTTGAGAGATGTGCCTTCCTCTCGACCGAGCTCCCCTCATTTTAATGGAGGGGCCCACTCACCTAGGCAGAATCGGCAGAGAAGTATCTCGTCGACTACTACTCGGGGTGATGCAAACTCCCCGGCGTTTGGTCGACGGTCCCGCTCGATCGCTAGGCCGGCACACCGCCCGTTCAGGCACTAACCATTTGACCGAGGTGATCACATTGGAGATACACCTCGGCACCGCATATGCCTCCGCGTTTTCCGGCTGGAGGAAGGCATACCCCACCTTGTGGATGAAAGGCTTGGGACCACCCAAGTCTGCTGATGTTCCCGGGTCCCACCGACCCTATCCGTATGAGCACCCAAGTACCCGCTGAGCCCAGGAACCGAAGTTCCCCGGTTCCACCGACCCTATCCGAATGGAGACCTACAGACCCAGCAAAGCACTAAAGGGACACCAGCAGACCATTACAATGGTCCCCTCACCCTCATCGACCCTTCCCGTGTCCCTGCATCCGCCTTTTTATACAGGAGGAATGCAGACTCCTGTTGAGATATGTCAGCCTAGGGGTCAGCGACCCGTCACTTGACATGCCTCGCCACTCGACGGCATCCGTGACTCGAAATAAGCGTGCATCCGATTTTTCCGGAGGGTGATGCACTAACCCTCGCTGCATCTCCTACCCGACGCGAGCTAACCTGAAAATAAAAACCTGAAAGAAGAAAAGATATTAGCTTAAAACTAACTTAAAACTAACTTATAGCTAACTTAAAATTAACTTAACACTAACTTAAAATTAACTTAAAACTAACGAAAACAAAAAACGCTGAATTGATCTCATCGTAGATCAACCAGCACCGGACGCCTTCGAGTTTTTCAAAGCTGGGGAAGGCGCACCCCACTCTGTAGATGAAAGGCTCGGGAGCATCTGTCCGCCTCAGCTTCCTCGGGTTCCACCGACCCTATCCGAATGGAAACCCTATGACCCGCTTGAGCCCAGGAACCGAAGTTCCCTGGTCCCACCGACCCTATCCGAATGGGAACCTTCGGACCCAAGCGAGCCGGAAACCTTAGCGGAGGTTTCGATGCTCCCCTCACCCTCATCGACCCTTCCCGTGTCCCTGCATCCGCGTTTTTAGACAGGAGGAATGCAGACTCCTGTTGGCCCACGTGATTCGAAGTAAATGTGCATCCGGATTTCCGGAGGGTGATGCACAACCCTCACCTCACCTCCCGCTTTCGCCGCGAAGGTGGGCATCCTACCCGCAACAAAAAGAGCTACCGCGAAAACGAAAACAAAAAACGCTAAGTTGATCTCATCGTAGATACAACCAGCACCGATCGCCTCCGTGTTTTTCAAAGATGGGGGAAGGCGCACCCCACTCTGTGGATGAAAGGCTCGGGAGCATCTGTCCGCCTCAGCTCCCCCGGGTTCCACCGACCCTATCCGAATGGAAACCCTGTGACCCACTTGAGCCCAGGAACCGAAATTCCCTGGTCCCACCGACCCTATCCGAATGGGAACCTCAGGACCCAAGTGAGCCAGGAACCTTAGCGGAGGTTGCGATGCTCCCCTCACCCTCATCGACCCTTCCCGTGTCCCTGCATCCGCGTTATTAGACAGGAGGAATGCAGACTCCTGTTGACCCCCGAGACTCGAATTAAATGTGCATCCGGATTTCCGGAAGGTGATGCACTGCCCCTCATCCCACCTCCCGCTTTCGCCGCAGAGGTGGGTAACCTACCCGGAATTTCTAAGACCGCCTCCCGGCAGAGGCAGCTTGTGCAGCAATGTCCCAGTCGAGACATCGTTGTCTCGACCGAGATACTACCGCACCCGGCTGCCTACGTTTATTTATACAGGGGTGGGCAGGCCCCCTGTCGCCGACGTACAACGCCGACTCCTAACCCGTGTCCCCGCCTCCGGGTTTTTTATTTAAAGCGAGGGGAGGCGGACCCCCGCTTGCGGTATGTTGACCGGTGGATTCAAGTGGGTCTTCCACAAGAACCCATCACCCAACATGACCACGCCATGCGGGCACGCGTGACTCGAATTAAATGTGCATCCGGTTTTCCGGAGGGTGATGCACCACCCCTCAACCTCACCTCCCGCTTGAAGAGCGGAAGATGGGCTTTCCTACCCGAAAGAAGCTCTGCCTCCACGTGGAGACGGTTTGTGCTGTGTTGTTTCCATCGGAAAACACTATCGTGCTTCGCGACGGAAGTCACCACTGCACCCGGCTGCCTTCGATTTTTTATACAAGGGTGGGCAGTCCCCCTGTTGCCGACGTGCGACGCCGGCTCCTTCCCGTGTCCCCGCCTCCGGATTTTTTATTTAAAGCGAGGGGAAGGCGGACCCTTCGCTTGCGGTATGTCAGCCTCCAGGTATCGTAAACACAATACCCTTCACTTGACATAAGGACCGCTCCACTCGACGGTTCCCGAGACTCGACATAAGTATGCCTCCGATTTTTCCGGAGGGTGAGGCACCAACCCTCTTGAAAGCAAGCCGCGACCCGAAGACTCTACTGCCCGGTGGCCAAAAAGATGGTGGATTTCCGCGTCTCTCCGAGGAGAGACCCGAACTCCACCCACACACACACTCACACATGCACACACCATTCACACACAGAGGAACCGCCACCGAGATAATCCCCGCCTCTGGCCCGGCAGGTGACTAAGTCACCCCACCAGTCCTTCGGGCGAGGGTCCCGGCCGGTTCCCGTTTTTCCCCCTTGAGGGACGCTTCACGGCGGGAGCACCCGCCGATCGGCCACCTCATCCCCCCTGCGGGAGCACCCACACAAGTTACGGGCGGAAAGCTAGGCTCCCCCTGCAGTGCCGTACCACTGGGCGATTGAAGTCAGGGCCGCCAACCCCTTCCAGCGATCGAGACTGGTCCGCGGCAGCAGACCTCATCTCTATGGAGTCGCTGGGCTCCATCTGCACCCAAAGCCGGGTACCGTGCTATTTGAAAGCGGGCGCCACTCCGAAGAAAAGTAGAAGTAGAGACCTTGGGACAATCGGTCGAGGAAGAAGGATGGGAGGTTAAGGATGGGTTGAAAGAAAGAATGGGTTGGGTGTTCTTCCACCCGTAACGGCCCCATTGTGCCGGGTTTGGAGTCAGGGTTTTCCTTCCCCTATGCGCATCAGGCCATAAAGCCCGGAGGGAGCGCAACCCCCCTTCTCGTGATCGGGTCATTCCTGACCTTGCCTTAAGTGGCCGGGTCATTCCCAACCTTGTCTTAAGTGGCCGGGTCATTCCCGACCTTGCCTTAAGTGGCCGGGTCATTCCCGACTTTGCCTTAAGTGGCCGGGTCATTCCCGACCTTGTTTTAAGTGGCCAGGTCATTCCCGATCTTGCCTTAAGTGGCCGGGTCATTCCCGATCTTGCCTTAAGTGGCCGGATCATCAACAAACTTGCCTTACCATAAAAATAATGAAGTTTTAAACACTTGATCTTAATTAAGTTAATGTTAATTAAGTTAATGTCAATTAACTTGATTAACATTAATTTAATTAACCAGTAAAGGTCACACACCTGAACGCAGAATTTTGTGCTCTTTCAGAATCGGTGGTCAAAAATAAGAGTTCCTATTTTGACAAACGAAGACTTTTAAATAATTTTGAAAATCAACTCCAAGGTCAAAGT